CTGCTTAGGCTGACCTGAGCTGTGGGAAGAGTCAGCTCCCATCTCTGGTGGGAGCCTGAGAAAGCACCTGCCCAGCAGTGCTCCTTTGGATGAGCCAGATGCTGGTGGATCCCTGGGGTAAGCGCTTCCTACCCGTGCTCTCCTGGCAGGCTACGAGCTCCTCTTCCAACCAGAAGTGGTGCGGATATACATCTCCCTCCTGAAGGAGAGCAAGACTCCAGCCATCCTGGAGGCCTCGGCAGGAGCCATCCAGAACCTGTGTGCTGGCAGCTGGACAGTGAGTGCCCCTGGGGCTGGTTGTGCCCAGGGAAGGGGAGCCGGGAGTACCACCCGTGGTAGGGGCATTGGGACTGTGGATGCCATTCCAGGCTGTTCCCTCCCTGCGTGGCCCCAGGAGCCACCATCCCACAGCACAGTTCGGGTGTGCACAGGGTCCCCCTGTGCTGTGGAGGGCTGTGTGCTCGCTGCCTGTGGCTCTTTGTTGTTCCTCCCCTCCTGAGGGCAGGGAATGAAGGTAATAACCTGCATTACCTTGGTGTGTATGCAGAGCCCCTCTGGGAAATCTGGCCGGGCCCGTGGGGGGCTCTTGGGATGGGAGTGGGCTCTGTGGGTGCAGCAGGCCCCCCATGCCCTCGGCGAGGGGGGGTGGCAGGGTTGGCGGGGTGGCCCCCAGCCCCAGGTGACACGGGGGTGCTGTCCCTGCCCCGCAGTACGGCCGGTACATCCGCTCGGCGCTGCGCCAGGAGAAGGGGCTCTCTGCCATCGCCGACCTGCTGAGCCACGACAGCGAGCGGGTGGTGAAGGCGGCGTCAGGCGCCCTGCGCAACCTGGCTGTGGACCTGCGCAACAAGGAGCTGATCGGTGAGGATGGCGTGCTCTGCATGCCCACCCGGGCCAGGCGGGAGCGTCCTGCCCTGCTGAGGGGGTGCGTGGGCACAGATCAGCTCAGCCTCTGCCTGCCACTCCTCTCGTGGGGCAGCGAGGGCCGAGCTCCGCAGAGAGGGAGAGAATGGGTCGCCTGTCACCTTTCTGTGGTGGTTTTCCCAGCAGTCCTTTTCTTTCTTGCTCATGCCCAGCTCTTTCCCCTTCCCAGGCAAGCACGCCATCCCCAACCTAGTGAAGAACTTGCCTGGAGGCCAGCAGACCCCTGCCAAAAACCTGTCTGAGGACACAGTGGTGTCCATCCTCAACACCATCAATGAAGTGATCGTGGACAACCTCGAGGCCGCCAAGAAGCTGCGGGAAACGCAGGGGATTGAGAAGCTGGTGCTGATCAACAAGTCTGGGTAGGCTCTGCTCAAAGGGTGTAATGCCAAGAGGTGGACAGGGGCTTGTCCAGCAGCCTCCCCCCAGGCTGTGACTGTTTCCAAATGTCTCTTCCTTCCCCTCTTCCTAGGAACCGCTCAGAGAGAGAAGTTCGAGCAGCTGCCCTCGTCCTGCAGACAGTCTGGGGCTACAAGGAGCTGCGGAAGCCCCTCGAGAAGGAAGGCTGGAAGAAGTCAGATTTCCAGGTTTGGGGATGGCCTGTGGTGGCTGGGGTAGTAGGTGGGGTCCTGCAGCAGGGAGAAGGGTGTTCCTATAGCTCAGCAGGACAGGTTTGCAGCCCTTGGCCTTTGAAGGTGGGACTGGGCACCTGCAGAGGTGTCCCCTGTGCCTCAGGGGAATGTCCCTGTTCCTCAGCCAATGGCCAACAGGAAGCCTGTGCTAAGGACACCCTGAAGTGTCACACCCTGTGTCCCACACCAGTGTGTGGCTCCACAGGCAGGAATTTTGTCACCCTAAATGCTGCCGTGGCAGTGCTGAAGAACAGAGTTCTCCTGGGCTCAGTTTCTTTCCCAAAAGCAGGGACTATCCATTTTCCTGGAGCACTGGGCACTGCCCCAGTCCAGGCGGGGTTCCCTTGCTCTAATGGGGATGTAGTGGGCGCTCGAGCCCCTTCCTCAAGGGTTGTGGGAGGGCTCCTGGGTCCGTCCTGGCACTGGAGGGGTGGGATGTGCCAGTGGGGAAGGAACATCTGGGCCCAGGGTGTGACTGGTCACTGTTCCTACAGGTGAACCTGAGCAATGCCTCTCGGACCCAGGGAGGCAACTCATTTGATGACAGCACCTTGCCTCTCATTGACAGGAACCAAAAAACAGGTATGTGCCCACCTGTGCCCACCATCATCCCTCCACCCTGTGGGTACCCAGGGCAGCTGGCCTTTGTCCCCTCCCTGCTCTTCAGCCTGGGCTTCCCTGGCAGCCACAGCTGCTCACACAGGGCCATCACCATCAGTATGGGCCTTAGCTGACTTTCCTGGCCATCAGGGCCCTCAGTTTGGGCTTTAGGTGGCTTCCTGGGGCTGTCACTGGTAGGTCCTGTCACAGGGATTCTTGGGTCGCAGAGCTGTGGCTGCAGCTGGGCCTGGGCCTCCCCAGCTCAGGGACTGTCCCTGACCTACTCTCCTGTGCTTGTAGATAAAAAATCCTCCCGGGAGGAGATCCAGATGAGCAACATGGGACCAGGTAGGAGAGGGACTGGAATGGGGGCCCCTCACCCCCTCAGTATGCAGGGAGGGGGGCAGAGCTCACATCTCCTGTGGGGATGGGGCAGCCCTCCCTGGAGGTGACACAGCTGACTGTCACCTCTCCTGCTTCAGACAGCTATTCCACACTCAACGAGAGGGACCACAGCAGGACACTGGAGCGATCCGGTGACCTCGGGGAGATGGAGCCGGTGAAGGCAGCACCGTTGATGGTGAGCAGCTGCCCCTGAGGAGGGAAGGGTGCAGGATATGCCATACCAGTGTCCTGGCTGGCAGGAGGAGGGGAGAGCTGGGCTCCCACAATTGACACCCCCCACCCCCTCGCCCCTACTAACCCCCGTGTGTCTGCAGCAGGAGGAGGAGGGGCAGGAGCTGCAGCCTGAGGTAGAGGAGGTGGAGGAAGATGCTGCTGTGCTTCCCCCCGTGTCGGTATGTCCCACGGTGTCCTGCCCAATCTGACAGTAGTGACAGATCCTGCTGTGCTGTTAGGGGTGCTTGGCCAGCCAAATCTTGCTCCGATCGATCTCTGCTGCCGTGGTACCGCCTCCACCGCTCGCTCCCGCCCCAGCCCTGCTAATGCCTTTCCCTCTCTCTCTCCACAGCAGAAGATCTAGCTGGCCCACCTCTGCTCCGTTTGGGTTGATAATATATTATATATATAAATATATAACTCTTCGTGGTGGAATGGACCGACTTTTACCTTGTCTTATTGTTGGAATTTTTGCTGGACTCCTTGTGCCAACCATCCAGCCAAACGCCTGGGCCGGCTCCCCGAGGCAGCCTGGGACCGCTCAGCCTCCTCTGGGCCTCTGCACCTCCCTGTTCCGGGACACCATGGCTGAGAGCTCCTCCTCCCATCCTCCACCACCACCCCCTTCCTCCCGAGGGGCAAAACCTTCCTGCCTGACTCTGCCGGATCAGCTGGCGTGGATGCTGCACAAGGACTCAGATCTCTGCCTTGACCAGGAGCTGCCTTCTCTCCCACACCTTCCCCCTCTGCAGGGTGTCTGCAGTGACAGGGACTGGGACCTCACTTGCCGCCGCCGTGGTTCTGGTTTCGTTTTGTTGCCTATAGGATGTATTTTTTTTGTGCGGGATCACTCTTCGACCAGGGACAACACAGACATCCCTCCTCCCTGGGGGCTGCAGGACCAGGGCCCAGGGGCTGGAGCTGTTGTGGGGGAGGGCAGGAGGAAGGACAACCAGCAATAACTTCTCTTGCTTTGCTCTAGATGAGGCTTTCGGGGGCGTGGGAAGGGGGATGTGGCTCTGGGTCCTGCAGAGGGGTCTGGATGGGGGGCCCTGGCTCCCACCCGGTGCCTATGTGAGGAGGATCCTGATGTGGGGAAGAGGGTCAGTGCTGGGGTGAGGGACAGGCCTCCTGGGTGGAGGTGTGGGGTCCCTGCGGAGGGGGAGATGTGGTAGGATTTTGGGGAGAGGGCTCGGGGCGCGCTGTGCCGGGCAGCTGGAGCCAGGACCCCCATGGCGCTACCCCCCCTCGACTTTCTCTTGACACGTGCCTTTCTTTTGCCACTGTGAAATAGCTGTTTGAATCGTACTGTCCAGCTGCTTCCCTGGGAAAGGGGAGTTTCCTGGGCTTCCAGCAGGGCTGAACTCTTCCCTTCCCCACTGGGAGCCTTCCCTGTCTGCAGTGGGGCTGGGAGCCTGTTTTTGGGGGGAACCCAGCCCCCCTGCCCTCGCTGAGAGGGTGCAGGGCATTGCCATCCAGGCCTGGGGAGCCTGGGCTGCCACGGGAGCTGGGATGTGCTCCTCCTCCTCCTCTTGGCTGTGGTGCTGTGGCACATTGACGTGCTGTGATCTTCTGGGGGGCCCTGCTACTCCCTGTGCAACTGGAAGTCTCTGTAGGAGGCTGCAAACTGGAGCAGGAGCCCTCCCAGCCGGGGGCTCCCCCCAGGAGGGGTGTGGGGAGGTGGCAGGGGCAGAGCTGGTGCCTTGCTCCTGCCCAAATCCCCCCCAGCACCAGCTGGGCCCTCCCTGCTTCCAGCCCCACCTCAGCTTGGTTGGGTTTTGTTCTGGGGTCTAACTCTTTTCCTTTAAATATGTAAAACACTAATTCCTTTTTTAATTTTTAATTCTAAATGAACCAAAAAGACAGCATCCCCTCCTCTCCTCCTCAGCCCCACTGGGGAGGGGGGCTAAGGAGGGAAGGAGGGGGAAGCACCAAGCTGTTCCTCGTCTGATTCCTGTGCACACTCTTGTAACGCTTTGAAAACAAAATGATTTTTTTATATAAATAAAGTTTTTAAAGTGTGTCTGTGTGCCTGCCCCCTTGGCTGTACTCTTGGTGTGTTTCTGGCTTTGCTGTTGGGACCAGGGGCCTTTTCCAGGATTCCCATAGGTGCCACTGTGTGACAAACCCTTTCTTGTCTGGGGGTGGCACTTCCCAGCCCTCCCACCGTGCCTTGCACCTTTGTCCCCAAAGCCACCAGCGAGCAGAGCAAAGGCAGGACTGGATGTTTTATTGCTGCAGGTGCAGGGGGCAATGCCCAGGATGCGTGGCTTGGCAGGGGCAGTGCCAGGAATGTCTTGTGGGGATGCGGGCAAGGAATGCTGCCTGAGGATACCTGACGCCAGCCAGGCTGGGGACAGTTGGCTGGGCAGGACAATATGAGGCACGTTGGGCTCAGCAGGGACAACGCCAGGGATACTGATGGTTGGGGACCATGCTGGGGACACCCAGGCTGGGGGGTCAGAGGAAGAGCTTGTCGTGGCAGGCCTGGCAGTACATCTTGTCTCCACACTCGCGGAAGGTGCCCTTCTGCAGCCGGCCCAGGCAGTAGGTGCAGACGAAGTGCTCGGGGTGGTACTTGCGCCCCGCGGCCGTGATGCAGCGCCCGGTGACGGGGCGGCCGCAGCCGTGGCAGATGGTGCCCTGCCGCTGGTGGAAGTGCAGCTCGCAGTAGGGCCGGCCCTCCAGCTCGAAGAAGGAGCCGCCGGCGAAGCCGCTCAGGCATTCCTGGGGAAGGAGACCGGGAAAGGTTGTCACGGCCCCAGGAACGGGCACGGCCCCGCCACCCCACCACCCACTCACCGTGCACACAAAGCACTCGGGGTGCCACACGGCCTGCAGAGCTGACAGGTATTTGTCCATGACCGGGCGCTCGCAGCCCTGGCACTTGGGGGTGAACATGGCCAGGAAGTCCTGGTGGCAGTAAGGCTTCCCATTCCACTCCAGGAACCCTGCGGACAGGGGATCAGGATTGGCACCCATGGCGAGGGAAGCAGAGCATGGATGTGGGCCTGACCAGGGTAGGAGGCAAGGGCATGTCAAATGGGGCAATAGGTGCAAGGGCAGGGGCTGCCTGGGGTGGGGCAGGCCTCCCACGCCTGTCCCCTGGGACCTACCCTCGTCCCCAAAGACCTTCCCGCAGTGGGCACAGAAGAAATGCTCGGGATGCCACGTCTGGTCCAAGGCTGTGAGGACTTTCTGCGGGGACAGGTGAGGTGAGGTGATGCAGCTGGTGGTGGTGGGGGGTGGCGTGGGAGCACAGGGGGGGCTTTACCTCACGGATGGAGCCGGCGCAGTAGGCACAGCGGGGGGAGAAGGCCTGGTGATAGTCCTCCTCGCAGAACGCCCGCCCGCCCTGCTCGAAGAAGGGCTGGCTGTCCAGCCCCTGCCCGCAGCGGGCACAGGTGAAGTGCTCAGGGTGCCAGGTTTTGCCCAGGGCTGTGAGCACCTGTGAGGAGGCAGGGGGAGGCTGAGGGCGGCCCGGGGGCATGCTGAGGGCAGAGGGGTTGCCGGGACGGCGCCAGGGGGCTCACCTTGCCGGCGATGGGCTTGCAGCAGCCGGCACAGACCCCCGCGGGGGTGGCTGTGATGCCCAGCTCCTGCAGGTCCCGGGTGAGGCTGCCCAGCATGTTGTCCAGGGAGGGCTCCGCGGCCACACCGGCTCCCTGCCCCGACAGCTGCCGGGGAGGAGGGCGGTGAGGGCTGGGGGAAGGTCAGGCCCCAACCCCCTTTCCCCAGGGCCAAGCTCACCTTGCTCTGCATGTGGCCCAGGTCAGCCAGGAGCTCGTCCAGCTGCTGGGCGGCCGCCGTGGGTGGGGGCTGTGGGACCGAGGTGGGGCTGCTGGACACGGCATTGGGGTGGGGGGGGAGGGTGCTGAGGTTTCCACTTATTCCAGGACTGAGATCCCTCCAGACCCACCCTTTCCCAGAGACCACTGCAGGGAACACTTAGCCCAGCCCTCACCGCAGCAGGGATGCAGCATACAACCTGCCCCAGCTCACAGAAGGACCTTTTTCTGGGCATTGAGGTGACCCCAGATGGCACATCCCAGACATGAGTGGGTACTCCCAGGTGGCTTTGCCCTTCCATGGCCATTTTTACCTGTACACTCTCTCCAAATCCTCTCCCAGAGACTGAGCCTGAGGCAGCAGCTGCACCTGGGAGGACAAAGCCATGCAGCCAAGCTCCCCTGGCAGCTCCATCACGAGCTGAGGGGGTCCGTGCTGAGGGTCTGTACCTTTGGGGCTGCCGAGGCAGCAGGCTCAGAGCCATGGGGGGCAGGTGGATCCTGGCAGGAGCTCGGTCCCTGCCATGCAGGGTCCTTGGAGGCCTGGAGGGAGCTCTGCTCCAGTTCTACCAGCAAAGCATCTGCACAGAGAGACCCCGCTCAGGCACCACAGTCACTGGCTGCCCACCCTGCTGCCACCCCCTTAGGAGGTCTTGTACCATTCCCAAAGTCCCAGGAGCAAAAGAAGTGTCCCAGTGGGTTCTGCCTGGTAGATGCCAGGGTCCCGAGGGCACTCAGATCCCATCCCTGGTGCAGGATCTGCCCACCCCTTCCTGCAGCCTTCCTGGAGCGTAGGCACCGCTGGCAAAGGGTCCTGCCCCTGCACACTGTCCTTGGCCTGCCAAGGAACATCCACCAGCCCTTCACTCAGCACGAGCCCTGGCAGGGGAGGGCTCAGCCTCAGTGGGTTCCATGCACCCAGAGTGTTGCTTCCCACAGAAAGGGCCTAGAGCTTGTTCTTCCCAATTCTGTCTCACCACCTTGGCCATCCCTCACATCAGGAAACAGGGAATGCCCCCCCTCGTGGCAGAGCTGCTTCCCTGGCCCAGGCCAGGGCTGGCTCCCAGCACCCCCAGAGGCTGTGCTGCAGTCCTGGGATTGCAGCGCTGCCACAGCCCATTTCCTGCTCTCAAGCGCGCTCCATTTTTAGCCAAGTTCGTGCTCAACCACCCTGTCAGTCCCCTGGCATGGGGGAGGCACTGCAGGGAGCATGGCCCCATTGCTGCCCCCACTGCTGCCCCCTTAGAACACCCCCACCTGGTCCTGAGGGACAGCAAGGACAAGGCTCCCCCCAGGTGCTGAAGGTATGACCCCACGCCAAGCCTGGCTGCAGGGCCGGCTCTGGAGCATCCCAGCTTACCCAAATCCTCCATCCTGCCCTGACATGGGGTGGCAGGGCCTGGGGCAGCACCCGCAGGGAGCGGAGCTGGCGCTCGGGGCTGCGCGGGCACTCGGTTCCGGTGTTGGTGTCTCCTCCGCCCCCCACGTCGCTCAGGGTTTCCCTTTGTGGGCTTTGCGCCTCACACCACGTGGGACGGGGCAGAGCTGGGGCACGGGGAGCCACAAACAGCCCCGGGCTGGGGCTGCTGAGGAAAGAAACTGCCAGCGAGTTGTCCGAGGAGCTCTGGGTGTAAACCGGGATGCTCCTGCAGAGCCAGGCCTTTTCCAGAGGCCACTGGCCACGTGTGCCAAGGGATGGCATCCCTGTGCCGAGTGGGAATGGACTTGTGATGGTGTGACGGAGCATTGCCTTTTGGGGGATGCTTCTGGAGCCTCATCTTGGATTTCCAGGTAAGAGCAAATCCCCTTTTGGCAGAGTGGCCAGTGGATGTGGGAACTGCTCCAAGGGACTGGTTCATTACCTGGGCAGTTGTTCTGTCATCCCCTCTCAGTTCCCCTGTCCCCCCAGCGTGGCTGGGGGGGGTTAATGCCAGAGGTGGGTGCAGGGGATGTGCACGTGGCTTGGCGTGCCCTTTGGGTTCTAGTTTGGGTGTTTGGAGGAGGCATCACCTCATAGGTGATGGATAACACCTCCAGCCCCTTGGCTACCGGCAAAGCTTCACTGTGCCCTGGCCTGGCTCCTCCTTAGTCCAGCTCTCCGGGGGTTCAAGGGTGCCAGAAGCACCTCGGGAGCAGAGGCTATGTGGCCAAACACGTCCTCTCAGCGGGGCCAGACCCCCGTGTCAGTGGGGAACCGCAGCATCCGGCACCGCTGAGGCACGAGCGCTCTCGCGGGCCTGGCTGACACCACCGTGGTCCTGCTCTTAGGCTCTGCTGAGCCCACCTGCCCCCTCAGCTGGCCTGGGCTCCAGCCCCTCGAGCTGCCACAGAGAGCTTCACTGAATTACCACGGCGGTGTCGGTGACAACGCTTTTGTTCCCTTCTCCATCCAGCCGTAGCACCTCGGGAAAGCCCCGCGGGACATGCACAGGGAACTGTTTGAGGACAGGAATCCTGAGAGCCACCCAGAGACAAGCTGAGGCACTGCTGGTATCGCCCAGCCTTGCGTCAGGCACTTCCATCCCTGCACACACCAGAACCTTCCTGTGTGCGGAAGGTTTGGGGCTATTTTTAGCCTTCTCAGTGATTTACTCTCCCCACTGGGGATCTGTGAGCCCGAGGGCACACGAGGAGCTGGTGCTGTAACACCCCATTATAAAACTTCCCCTTACAAGCCCCTCGGAGGCAAAAGGCCGAGCTGCTCCCTGGCCAGAGCTGTGCCCCCCTGCAGAATTAAGCAACGCCAGCCTTACCTGCAGAGGAGAAATCAGTGGTGACAATGACAAGAACAGGTTGGTACTGGGCTGACAGAAAGCAAGACCCAGCCCAGGTCAGTGGCTGTGGGGAAGGTTTGTGCTGAGCCTCTTGTCTGGGTCTGGCATGGACAGGAGGAATCCCCGTGCAAGTACCCTGAGCTTTGCTTTAACTTTCATGGGTTTCCCCCCCTTCCCTGGGCTTGGTGTCTTGCTCAGAGGAACAGATTCTCCAGTGGTGAGGTGGTTTATTAGAGGAACATTAGATTAGATTAGAAGAAGGGAGAGTTGGACACGCTTTTGTCTTCTAAGAATACAATACACAGCTCAGGCCTCGAAGCCCAGGAGCAGAAGGAAGGGCTGGGCGGCCGGAGCCCTCTTCACTGGTGGGGAACCGGTTCAGCAAACAGGATTTACCAGCTAAACGCCTCAGGCTCTTCGAACCCCGGTGGTTTTTGCTGCCTCCATTTGCTCTGGCACAGGCGGAATGGGGTGGGATATCTGCCACGCTCCTGTCTAAGACGGCGTGCAGGGGTCACGGCAGCGCTGTGGCAGCAGGGATTGGGATCGGAGGTGGGGAGCCCCGGTGACCCGTGTAGTGGAACAAAGAGAAATCTAGCCAACTTAGCCAATAATTTCAAGGACTGAGGGGAAAGCTGGATTTCCTGGAAGTGGGAAGTGTCACCCTTTGTTCTCCTGTCCCAGAATTTAAGTCTGATGTGCAAAATGTGGGTAAGGTCGGCCAAGCCACCCCCTCCCGAGGAACCACGGCACAACCCCTCCCCAACCCCACGCCGGCTGCCGGCCCGGGGGACCAAGAGCACACGCGAGGGATCGCTCCAGGTCCCAGGGCACACCCGGACAATGAGGCTGCTGACCACGCTCCCGCCACCGGGCACAGAGGGGGACCGGGACGCGGAACCGGACCGGGAGGCAGTGCCACCCCCGCCGAGCTCGGAACTACAGCTCCCGGCAGGCCCCGCGCGTGCGCGGCTCCGAGGCGGAAGCGGGCGGGCCGCGTGGCCCGGGCCCCGCCCCCCTGCGCCGGCCGCCATTTTGTCACCGACTTTCACCCGCCGCCCGACGGGGCGTTTTTTTTTTTTCTTAAAGGAGAAGCGGCAGCCAAAAAGCGGCCCCGCCGCCAGGCCCCGCCGGCACCGCGGGCGGCGCCGCAGCTCCGCCGCACGGAGCGGCCGCGCGGGGCCGGGGCGGCGAACGGCTTTCCCCCTGCCGGGCCTCGCCCACGGGGCGAAGGGGGGCCCCCCGGGGCAGGCGGAGGGGCGCAGGCAGCGGCGGCGGTAGGGAGCCCGGCGGTGCCGGGGGCCGGGCGGCGGCCGGGGGCCGAGCCGGGGCGGCGGGGACCGCGCTCGAGTGGGCGCCGAGCGGGGCCGGCCCGGGGGGGGAGCGGGAGCGCGAGCCCGGCGGCCGCGGCGGCGCCTGCGCGGGAGGCGGGGGACGGCCGGGGCGCGCTCGCGGAAGCCTCGCGCTGGTTGGCCGCGCGGCCGCTCCGTAGGGGGCGGGGCCCCGCCTCAGCCGGGCCGCCCATTGGCCGGGGCGGCGCGCGAGCGGCGGGGGAAGGCGGGAGCGCGGCGGGCGCGGGGGGAGGCGGGTCTCGCGCGGGGAGGGGGCGGTGCCGCCCCCCGCGTCCCGCCCGGCGATTGGCGGTTGCGGGCGCGGGCGGGGCGCCGGAGCCGCGCGTGAAGGCGGGCGGCGGGCGCTGATTGGGCGCGGGCGGCGGGGGCGGGCCCGTCCCGCCGAGGGAGGAGCGCGGCCGCCCGGCCCCGCCGCCGCCGCCCCGATGCCGGCGGGCACCGAGCAGCCGGGGGGCGCCGCCGCCGAGCCGCCGCCGCCCGCCCCGGCGCCACCGCCCGCAGCTGACAGGTCGCCCGCCTCGGGCCGCCGCCGCCAGCCGCCCGCCGAGCAGGGGGAAGAGTCCGGCGCCAACCGTGTGCTGAGGGGCGGTCGGGAGCGCGGACGCGCCGCCGCCGCCTCGGTCGCGGGGGGATCCGCCGCCGCCGCCGCGTCCCGCCGCCGTAAGGCCGAGTACCCCCGGCGCCGGCGGAGCAGCCCCGGGGCGCGGCCCGCCGCCGAGGAGCCAGCCGCCGAGACGCCGCCCGCGGCCAGGAAGGGCCCCCGGGCCGGGTGAGTTCCTGCGGCGCCGCTGGGCCCGCACCTCTCCGGGATCGCGGCCGGGGCCGGGCGTGGGGTCTCTGCGGGGGGCCCGGCGCCATCGCGCCCGGGCCTCGGGGCCGCCTCCGGGCGCGGGACGCCCCACGCCGCCGCCCCTTTGTTCCGGCGCCGTTGGTCCCTTCCCAGGAAGGGCCGCGTCCCGGGAGTCGCTGACCGCGCAGCCGTCCCGGTGCCCCGCGAAGCCAGCGCGGTTTGACCCCCTCCGTCTCGGGGAGGGGTCTCGAGGGGGTCAGCCTTTCTGGGGGGACATTTTGCAGCCCCTACACCTTCGGTGCGGAGCGGGACTCCGGCCACGTGCACGCGTGGAGCCTTCGGGAGTGCAGCCCCTCTGCCCTGTCCCAAGCGCAAAATCCCCCTGGCTCGGGCGTAACTATGGTGGGCAGGGCTGGTAACCCTAACCCTTTGGTACTGGGTGTTCCTGGAGTTCCCCTCAGCTCCCTGCGGCTGGAATGATACACCTTGGCATGCGGGGGTGAAAGCAGCGGTCCGAGGGCTTGGCACTGGGAATCTGGGGAGTTGGGGCTCATCTCCTTGTCGTGCAATTCCTTGTTTCTGCCCCTGTGCCACAGAATCTGGTTTTTATACTTGGTTTTGTGGGTTTTTTTCAGGTGTGCAGATAAAGCAGCTGGTAAAGGTAAGAGTTGAATTACTCACTCCTTCTGTCTTTTCCATGCTGGAAGTCTGGGCCTCCCAGAGCCAGATGTCTGTCTTGTCCTCCCGAGTTAGCCAGATATCTCTTGGATCTTCCTTCTAAAGAATGTTTTGGTGCCAGACGATGTGCTTTGTGGTTGCTCCTGTTGCACAGCAGTCCCAAGCAGCAGGCGAATCCTGGGCTCTCCTCTCTTTTGAGCTCACAAGTACAGGTGTAGGTCATCCAGAGATTCAGCTATTTACACTTGTTCTTTTCTAACTTCAGTGGATCGTGGATTTTTTTACGCTCATTTCTTCAGGGGTGAAGGAGAAAATTCTTCAGAATTTGGGGAAGCAGTGGCTTAAGGGGTCTGAACACAAAAGCCTCAACTATGGGGAGCTGAGACCTGGAGCAGAATTTTTGTTTTCCAGTGCAAACTATGAACTTTGTTGCATCTGTTTAACAGCTTCTTTTTAGAAAAACACCCCCCCCCAAAAAAAAAAACGTTTGTGGGCTTTGCTGCTTGCCCAGTGATGACTCCTGAAACAGCTCCAAGTAAAGGGCTTTGTGTAGAGTTAGTTTTGATCTGGCACCAGAGGATTGTGACAGGAACTGAGGAAAGGAGGTTACACACCTGTGCAAGTGAACTCCCTTTCTGCTGGAGCTATCCGGGTTGGTTTGCAGGCAGCCGTGTCTCAGAGGCTGCCATTAAAGCAAAACTGCTGGAATGTGTAAGGAAGCTTGATATGTGTGTAGTGTTGACATTATAATGGTGAAACTTGGTGTTTTGGCTGCCACTAGGCAGAAATGTTTATGTGGTAGTGGTAGAAAACAGGCAGAATGCTCCTGTTTGGACC